GTCGTGATTTTTTCAATGCGGGGTCCCCGGAAGTCTCGACCTATTCTCCAAGACCCGCTTTTCATCCTGAGTCGTTTTTTGACAGTCCCGGGGCCCGGCGACGGCCGCCAGAGGCCGAACATCGAGGAAAACCTCCGTCTTGATTTTTTCGATACGTCGGAGGTCTGGGTACAGACAGAACTGCGAGGCCCCACAAAGGCCCCGAAGACTCGCTGCCGAACTCCGCCCCCGCCCGGGCGGCTCCGGGCAGAGCGGGGCCACGGAGAGGAGGAGGAGCACGGGAGCCCGCGGGCCACGGCGGCGAGAGGGGGAGAGACGCTTGGCCTTCGAGGAGGCGGAGGGCTCCGCGAAGGCGATGGGCATGCGCGTCAGGCCGTCCTGTGGGCCAGGGGGGGGAGGGGGAGGAGGAGAAGGGAGGAGGAGGAGGAGGAGGGAGGAGGAGGAGGAGGAGGAGGAGGAGGAGGGAGGAGGAGGAGGGAGGATGGAGGGGAGGATGGGTGGAGGAGGAGGTGGAGGAGGAGGTGGAGGGAGGAGGAGGGGAGGAGGAGGAGGTAGGAAGAGGAGGAGGAGGAGGAGGAGGAGGAGGAGGAGGAGGAGGAGGAGGACGGGTCGCCTAAGCCCTTCGGAGAAACCCTCCACGTCGAAGGCCGAGAACGGCCCCCCCACACCCAGCTCAGCTAGAAGCCGGCATTGTAAGATCCTTCGGGGCCTGGCGGGGGGCGGCGGGGGGCCGAGGAGAGAGGAGAAAGGAGGGGCGGAGGGCGGCGGAGGGGCAGGAGGACCACGAGAGGGCGGAGGAGCTGAGCAGAAGGAAGAGAGGGAGGATGAGGGAGGAGGACAGCAGGTTTACGTAGTGTCGACGCGGCGGCGACACCCGCGCTGGCGGTCGAAGTGAACGCGGCCAGTGGGTGTTGAACGGGAATGCGCGATCGTTCACGGCTGAACGATCCAAGCGGTGTCAAAATCGACGCGCAGGCCGTTACGACACCTGCAGGCGCAGGATCCAGCGAAGAAGGCAAGCGATTTTGGTTCCACGTTTTTCCGGGGCCTCCAGGCGGCGCTCTCGTCGCCACGTCATCGGGACCGCCTCGAAATTCGGATAAAAACGCACCCCAAGACAAGTTTGGGTGGCGCACGAACATGTCCATCGAGGGCCGGCGCAGGTAAGGAAGCGGTGAGGGGACCTGAAAGGAAACGGCCAACCTTCGAGGGCCACAGAGGACGACGCCAAGCGCCACCACATGCGAAGCTTCGAGGACCAAGCTGCGTGGCGTGAAGCGCCCACGCGGTCTCGCGTGCAGCTCGCACGCGCGGGACTGCAGGCTGGCGGCGGCGACGGCGTCGACGGCGAGGGCGCAGCAGCATCCGCACCTGCCGCTCGCAGGGGGGGGCGGAGGGGCGGAGGGGCGGAGGGGGAGAAAGCGGAGGGGGCAGGGGCAGAGGCACGCAGGGGACGCAGGGGACGGAGGGAGGGAGGAGTGGAGGAGCGGAGGGGCCGGAGGTGGGGAGGGTGGGGGACAGGGGAGGGACGGAGGAGGGCAGGGTGGGCGGGGGAGGAGGGAGGAGAGGTGGAGGAGGGATAGGTGGAGGAGGAGAGTGGTGGAGGAGGGAGGAGGAGGAGCCCCCCCCCCCCCCCCCCCCCCCCCCCCCGGCCGGGAGGAGGATGAGAGGAGGATCGGATGGAGTCGGCAGGAGGGAAGAGGAGGCTGCCGCGCGTCGCCCGCACGCTCGCCCCCCCCCCCGTGGAGAGAGAGGAGGAACAGGACACGGCACCCTCGCCGAAAACCACCCACCCGATAATATAGCCATCTGAGCTCGAGTGTTTTCTGGACACTCTCACGGCTTTCGATATCCCGATATCGTACATTTCTGCACCTTGCCTCCACGTTGTGAAGTGCAGGAGCGGGCATAGGCAGCAATGCCTCGCCAGCGCGAGATGCGAGGCATCACAGTGCGTCAAGGCCCTTGCCTTGCGCATGTCAGGGATGCTTCAGAGGCTGCCCAACTCATGTCAGAGTTGTGCGGCAGTGGCTACGGTTGTTCTAATGGCGAGATCTTGGAGCCTTTCGAATCCACGTTGATTTCGGCGGGCAGGCTCTTGGGGCTCGAGAGGAAGGCAACGACCGAGGAGGTGCGCAAGAGCCTCGTGAAGCAAGGAGGGCCCTACCTTGACCTCACTAAGAGGTGGAGTGCTGCCCGTGCTGGGCGCGGAGCCGCAGCCCACCCTGACCCGTCCACCTTCGCGGAAATCCGAAGCGCACTCGCGAAGGACGGGGCTGAGTCAGGAGAGAGGTTGGAGAGAGCTGACCTGAAGCAGAGCCCTAAGTATTACGACATTGGTTCTGACGTGTCGCCCGAGTTTGGACAAGAACCTAGACAGGACAGTACTATGGCAAGTTCCAGCGGCGAGGACAGTACTTCCAACGGTTTCGAGTTTCAGGCTTTGCGTTTGGAAGTGGCTAATCTACGTGAGGCTGTCAACGAACTCAAAAGCCACTTCAACATTCAGCTTGCGCAACAGACAGAGAAAAAACACATGGATCAGCCTGTGGAGCCCCCGTGTTTGGACACTTTCTGCAACGATGAGCTTTGCAAGTATAAGCGTCTGCTAAGCGACCTCCAGGACACCATAGAGGAGAAGATTGAGGCCATTTCTGTTAAGATGGTGTTCCTGCACGCCGGAGGAATATCGTCGATTATAACTTCGCAGTCTTTCGGGTTCGCTGGCGATCCACACGGCACTGCTTCTGAGACCTACAGTGGCTCCACCACAATGGAGAAGCTGAAGGGCGAAACGAGCCAAAGAGCGACCACTAAGGATTTGCTGCTCTTGGGCGTGAGGCCTTTGACGGAAGGCTTGGATGGAGCAAACACTGAGCTGGCCTTCGACATCGATGAGAAAGGCACGGTGCTCTTCTCGGGACCCTGCAAGCCCTCCAGCAGCTCGTTCCAGAGCTTCCTCGACAACTATCTTGCCGGGCTAAGGGCAAGGGGAGAGTGCGGTGAGGAGACGATTGAGGACATTGCCAATCTCGCAGAACTGCACGTCCCTGGCTACAAGGTTCGGTGAGCCGCGCAGGCCCTTTTGCTGCAGCTTGCAATCCATAGCAGGCATCCTCATTCTGTCAGCTTGAAGTGCAGCAGCGAAGCAAGGCAAGAACGGCATTTTGTCGTAACGGCGCTGGGCTCCTGCTCAGCGGATGCCTCTTCTGGAGCCGTTGCAACATGTTCCTCCTTATCTATCCTCCTTTACATTCTGTTCCCCTCCCTTCCCCATTATCCCTCCTCCACCACGTCTCCCCACTACAGGGATCCAGAGCTGGATTTTAGCCGGCTGGAGGTGGGGGAGCTCATGACGACGCCGACGGCGATAGGGGACGAGACGTGGAGGTGGAGGGGGAGGCACGAACAAAGCGCTGTGATTGTTCCTTGAAGTGCCTGGCCGAGTGATCCCGGGCATTAGGCTCTCATCCCGCATCCTCATTCTGTCAGCTTGGAGTGCAGCAGCGAAGCATGGCGAGAACGGCATTTTGTCGTAACGGCGCTGGGCTCCTGCTCAGCGGATGCCTCTTCTGGAGCCGTTGCAACATGTTCCTCCTTACCTATCCTCCTTTACATTATGTTCCCCTCCCTTCCCCAGTATCCCTCCTCCTCCACCACGTCTCCCCACTACAGGGATCCAGAGCTGGATTTTAGCCAGCTGGAGGTGGGGGAGCTGATGACGACGCCGACGGTGATAGGGGACGAGACGTGGAGGTGGAGGGGGAGGCACGAATAAAGCGCTGTGCTTGTTCCTTGAAGTGCCTGGCCGAGTGATCCTGGGCATTAGGCTCTCAAGCAGGCATCCTCATTCTGTCATCTTGGAGTGCAGCAGCGAAGCAAGGCGAGAACGGCATTTTATCGTAACGGCGCTGGGCTCCTGCTCAGCGGATGCCTCTTCTGGAGCTGTTGCAACATTGTCCTCCTTACCTATCCTCCTTTACATTATGTTCCCCTCCCTTCCCCAGTATCCCTCCTCCTCCACCACGTCTCCCCACTACAGGGAGCCAGAGCTGGATTTTAGCCGGCTGGAGGTGGGGGAGCTGATGACGACGCCGACGGCGATAGGGGACGAGACGTGGAGGTGGAGGGGGAGGCACGAATAAAGCGCTGTGATTGTTCCTTGCAAGTGCCTGGCCGAGTGATCCCGGGCATCAGGCTCTCAAGCAGGCATCCTCATTCTGTCATCTTGGAGTGCAGCAGCGAAGCAAGGCAAGAACGGCATTTTGTCGTAACGGCGCTGGGCTCCTGCTCAGCGGATGCCTCTTCTGGAGCTGTTGCAACATCTTCCTCCTTATGTATCCTCCCCCTACATTATGCTTAATCGTTCCCTCGTCCTCATCTCTTCCGTTCCGCTCTCTGCTGCCTCGGGCAGCGATTCGGCGAAGGAGGGGGAGCGGAGGGTTTCGAGTATTATAGTGTGTGTGTGTGTTGTTGTTGTTGTTGCTGCTGTTAGTGTTGTTGTTATTGTTATTGTTATTGTTTTTGTTGTTGGTGTTGATTGTTGTTGTTGTTGTTGTTGTTACTGTTGCTGTTGTTGTTGGTTGTTGTTGGTGGTGTTGTTGTCGCTGTTGCTGTTGTTGTTGTTGCTGTAGTTGTTGTTGGTGTTGTTGTTGTTGCTGTTGTTGTTGCTGTTCTTGTTGTTGTTGTTGTGGGGTGTTGCGTGGTCTATCGGAGGAGGAGCTGGAGGACCTCCCCCCGCATCCTCCCCAGCTGCAGCTCACCCACAAGCTGAGAGGGAGCACCTTCGGCAGACCTGCCGCGAAGCAACTGGGCCCTTTGCCCAGATGGTGCTCCCAGCTATCTCCTTGACCCCGTCCCACATCGTGTCCTTTCTCCCCATCCGCTCCGTTCCTCAAGTCTCAACCGTTGCCGGATCAACCAGCACTTGATGACAGAGACTGCGGGGGGGAGGTAAGGGGGCGGGAAGGAGACGAAGGGCCGCCGACCGCACTGATCGGTCAGGCGAGCAAGAGGCATTCCTGGCCTCTCTCTCTCTCTCTTTCTCCCTTCCTCTCGTTCTCTACTCTCTCTCCTCTTTCAGGTAGGTTTGAGCTGTCCTCACTTTTTCCTTGCAATTTGTGTTGTGCTCGCCGACCCTTCATGTTGTGTCTTGTGTCTCGTGGGGGGGTAGGCAGGAGGGGAAGGAATGCAGGAAGGGCAGGAGGGGGAAGGAGGAGGAGGAGGAGGAGGGCTGGAAGGGGAAGGATGAAGAGGAGGAGGAGGAGGAGGAGGAGGAGGAGGAGGAGGAGGGCAGGAGGAGGAGAAGAAGGGAGGAGCGCCCCAAATGGAATGGTGCCGTCCTCGACCTCCTGCGGCCCGCTCTGCTCGACCACGGCGCCGCAGAAGAGCATCGCCACCTGCCCCCCGGCGGGTGCGACAGCAGCCTCCCGGCCCCGCCTCGCTCTCACCGCGTCCCGGTGCTCCCTCCTCCTGCGGTTCGAGCTGGCGGCCTTTGATCCCGGGGGGTGTAGCCATCGATGGCCGTCCTACTGGCCTGCGCCAGCTGGGGGAGACAACGCCCCAAATGGGTGAAAGATCAGGGCGGCGATGGGGGCGAAGAGCCGAGGGGGGAGCAATGCATACATCCTGGGGCGCCGACGGTCCATGCCTTCGGCGACGCTCCCAGGCGAACACGCGTGAGAGGCCCGCCCCTGGGCTCTTCGCCCCCATCGCCGCGCTTACGAGAGAGATCAGGAGGGAACGACTCGAACGACGGAGACGGGACGGCATGGAGGTGCAGGCGGGCGGCCTTGGTACAGTTGCCGCAGCGAGGAGGAGGTAGGAGGGAGGAGGAGGAGGGGGAGGAGATTGAGGGAGGAGGAGTGAGGTGGAGGAGTGGAAGAGGAGGAGGGAAGGAGGAGGAGGAGGAGGAGGGGAGGGGAGGAGGAGGGAGGAGGGTGGAGTAGAGGAGGTGGAGTAGGAGGAGGGGAGGTGGAGGCAGGAGGAGGAGGAGGAGAAGGAGGAGAGGAGGAGGAGGAGGAGGAGGAGGAGGAGGAGGAGGGGGCTGCCCTGCTGCGTGCGCAGGGGTGCGGCCCTGGCCGCTCTCCGCGGGCGCCCTCGGCCGCAGACTGGCGCTCCCCACCGCGGGGAGGCAGCCCGGCGAGGCGGCGTGCGGCTTGGCTGCCCCGGCCGCCCGTGAGCGCCCGGGGCGGGCGGGCGCGCAGAATGCAGTGGGCGGCCCGAGCGTGGGCCCCCCGACCTCCCGAGCCCGGACCCCCGACGCCGTGATCTTTCCACTGCGTCGGCCGAGGTCTCGACCCACTCCCCGGGACCGGCTCCTCCTCCCGAGTCGTTTTTTGGGGGACGGCCCCGGGGCCCAGGAAGCTCCGGCTCCCCCGAGGCCGAGGCTGGCGAGGAGCCTCCCGTCACGATTTCTGTCACTGCTCGAGGGGGTCTGGGCAGGGGGACTTCGGAGCCCACCCGGGCGCGTCCTCTTGCGGGAGCAGGTCCGCCATCCTCCAGCCCGTCCCCTGAGAGCAGGCAGCAGCGCGCGGGAGGCGGGGAGAGAGCGGCGGGCAGCGGCTGGCGGGTGCGGGCGCGGGAAAAGTGCAGCGGCGTGCGGGCAGCTGCGACACAAGAGAAGACTGGAGCAGGAGGGAGATCCCCTGAGATCCGACGTTGCAAGAAAAAAAAACCTGCAAACTCGCAAAAGCCACGCCCGGAACCCCGGACTCCAGCTTCCTGCGTCTCTGGTTTTCACCTGGATCGGTATGTGAGGGTCCTGGGGCCCGAGGCTGACCGAAAACGCCCGTCGTGAACAAACTTGCAACGTCAGGATCTTAGGCTTCGTGGGAAGGTGAGGCTGCGGAGCCGGCCCGTGCGGGAGCCCCAGCCCCGAGAGGAGGCGACGCCCCCTCCCTGGCGTGGCTCTCGCGGCGGGGCGGGGCCAAGCTGATCCGCGGCCGCCCTCAGGGCGAGGAGGAGGAGGAGGAGGAGGAGCAGGAGGAGGAGGAGGAGGAGGAGGAGGAGGAGGGCAAGAAGGAGGCAGGCAAGGAGGAGGCAGGAGGGAGGCAGGAGGAAGCAGGAGGCACGAGGCGGAGGCGGCAAGCAGGGTCGGCGCGGGCGCGGGGGGCAGGAGGAGAGAGCAAAAGCAGGGGGAAAAGGGCAGGAAGCCTCCGGGCTCTCCAGCGAGAGGCTCTCCCGCACGACGATGTCGCCCCGCGGGTCGCCGCTGGTGAACACCACCTCTGGGCGAGGGGGCCCGGCCCAGGGCGGGGAGGCCCCCCCCGCCGAGCGGCGGGCGTGCGCCCGCGCCCTCGCGGCCTGGGTGCCCAAGGCCTCTTCGCGCCGCGGGCAGAGGGGCACGGCCGCACCCCGGGGGCGCCCAAGAGGAGGGGGGGGCGCCCCGAGAGGGGCCAGGGCCGGGGACGAGCGCCCTCCCCTCGGGTCCTTGGCCCTCCCCGCCCCCCCCTGCTGGCCCTCGGCCCGGGCCCTCCTCCTCTGGCCCCGGCCTGGGTCCAAGCCGCGCTGGCCCGGGACCTCTTCCTGTTCGTCGCTGCCGTCGTCCTTCGTTCCCGGCCCTGGCCCCAGCCCCCCTCCCCTGACTGAAGGGGCCCCAGGACATACAAATAAATACACACAAACAAAAATGTTCCCCATATTTTCGCATATTTTCTGGGTTTTCGTCTTCCCCCCCATTTCCCATATTTTCCTGGGGATCGACGATGAATTGTGTCTGTGTGCTTTTGTCCCTCCTGACTGACCCTGGTCCCAACCCCCTCCGGCCCTCGCCCCAGACCCGCCTCTGGCCCCGGTCTACGCCCTAGCCCCCCCGGCCCAAGCCATGTGAATTTTCACTGGGGTCGTCGCGCTCCGTCCCCGGCCCTGGGCCCTGGCCTTGGCACCTGGTCCAAATCCCAGTCCCCTCTCGGCCCTGGACCTCTTTACTCTCTTGCACTGCCGTGTTCCAGAGCTCGGAGCCCTTTATTCTCGTCGTCGTTCGCTCGTGCGCTCGTGGCCCCCCCCCCGCCCTCCCAAGGCCCCCCTGCCCCCTGCCCCCTGCCCCTGCCTCCTCCTGGTCATGATGGCCCCAGGAGAACACCAGGGCGGCCCCGAAAAAATTGCTCGAGACGTGCCCAACTCCTGAGCGATCAGAACACAAGAGCACATCGCCAGGTATGCGCGATCTTCGCTGCCCTCGTTCCCGCCGTGCTTCCCAGGAGCCCACGAAAGTGGCGACAATTGCGGACTTCGCAGCTTCCCAGAGAGCAGCGAAGTCTCGTTTGGGTCCGCGTGGCCCCCGATTCCGCTGGACCTCCCAGGAGCCCACGAAAGTGTTGACAATCTGCGCAGCTCGGACCACACGTAGGAAGGCACCAACTATACACCAACACCGATCCTGGCCAGGATCACCCTGGGCCCAGGTTCGGTGTATACGCCCTCCTGCCTTGCGCAAGAAGGCATATACACCGATCCTGGGCCCAGGGTGATCCTGGGCCAGGATCGGTGTTGGTGTATAGTTGGTGCCCTCCGAAATCTGCGCAGCTCGGACCCCACGGGGAGCTGCGAGGTTCCCGGCCGGGCCCGCGTGGCCCTCGGCTCCGCTGGACCTGCCGGGAGCCCACGAAAGTGGCGACGGCTGCGCAATTCGCAGTCACACGCGGAGCAGCGATGTCCCCAATGGAAATCGCGCGGCCTCCGTTTCCGCTGGACCTACCAGGAGCCCACGAAAGTGGCTACAGAGCAGTTTTTAATACATGGGATGTTTCAAAATACAGAATTCTTAATACATGAATGATTCATGCATAAAAGTATGCATGAACTCATCGTTGTTTTTAATACTAAATCCCTGCATTTTAATACATGATCCGCACGCGGAGCATGTACTAAAAACGGCACTGTACAATCGCTCTGCTCACAGCCACCCAGGGAGCCACGAGGTCTCGTCTGGGTCCACGTGGACCCCGTTTCCGCTGGACCTCTCAGGAGCCCACGAAAGTGGCGACCGTTGCGCAGTTCGCAGTCACCCACGGAGCAGCGAGGTGTCGTCTGGGTCCACGTGGCCCCCAACTCCGCTGGACCTCCCAGGAGCCAACGAAAGTGGCGAAAGCTGTGCAGTTCGAGGTCTCGGCTGAGTGTGCGTGGCCCTTAACTCCGCTGGACCTCCCAGAAGTCAACGAGAGCAGCGAGGTCTTGTCTGAGTACGCGTGGCCCCCGACTCCGCTGAACCTCACAGGAGCCCACGAAAGTGGCTACAAGCTCAGTTCGCAGCAACCCAGGGAGCCGCGAGGTCTTGGCTGGGTCTGCGTACTCTCCCACTCCGCCGTGCCTCCCAAGAGCCCACGAACGTGGCGAGATCTGCGCACTGAGCAGCCTCCCAGGGAGCCGCGAGGTCTTGGCTGGGTCTGCGTACTCCCCCACTCCGCCGTGCTCCCAAGGAGCCCACGGAAGTGGCTACAACTGATCTGTTCACAGCCACCCTAGGAGCCACGAGGTCTCGGCTGGGTCCGTGTGGCCCCCCCACTCCGCTGGACCTCCCAGGAGCCCACGAAAGTGGCAACAGTTGAGCAGTTCGCAGCCACCCCTGGAGTAGCGCAGGAGGGGCAGGAGAGGAGGGGAGCTGGAAAGGAGGAGGTGGGGACCACAGTGCTCGAATCAAAACCAGAACCCAGCGCGGGAGGGTTGGGAACAACTTCCTCAAACCGCCTCGCCTGGCCCTCGCCCTCCCTCGTGCAAGAGCCAGGGCATGCGTGCCACTTGCTATCGTCGTGGTCGTCGTCGTTTGTTCCTGTCCCTGGCTCCAGCCCCCCCACCACCACCCTGGCCCTGGTCCCAGCCCTCCTCTGGCCCTCGCCCCAGGCCCTCCCCCGGCCCTGGTCTAGAGCTCAGCCCCCCTGGCCTCAGACCTCTTCATGTTCGGCGTGTTCGTCGTCGTTCGTCCCTGGCCCTGGCCCTGGCCCCCACACTGGTCCTGGTCCCAGCCCCCCTTCTGGCCCTGGTTCCAGCCCCAGTCCTAATTAGCCATTGGCCCAGACCCTCCTCTGGCCCTCGTCCAGGTTCCGGCTCCCATGGCCCCTGGCCTCCCCCTGGCCTCCTAGCGCAGACCCTTTGGGCCGCGGAACCTTGCACGTTCGTCGCTCGTCGTCGCTCGTCTTCCTGCCCTGGTCTCCCCCTGGCTTCCCCCCCATTCCCCATGGCCCCCCCCCTGCCCAAACTCCCCCCAGCGTCCCATGGCAGCCCCCCCGGGGCCGCGGAACTCTTCGCCGTCGCTCGCCCTCCTCCCCTGGCCCAGCCTCCTGACATCCTCCGGGCATGATCTCGGCCTCCCCCTGGCGCTCCTCTGGCCTCCTCCTGGCCTGGCTCCCCTGGGCTCCTGGATCCCCTTGCACTAGCTCTGAGCCGCGGAGCCCTCGACTCCCCTGCACAGCTGTGCCTCAGAGCTCGGACACCCCTTATCTTCGGCGGCGTTCGCTCGCTCGCTCGTCGCCCACCCGGGGCCCCCTCCCCCTGCCTCCTCATGATGGCCATGACGGCCCCCGGAGAGCACCAGGATGGCCCCAATACCCTCCCCCCCGCCCTCCTCGCCCCGCCTCGCCTGTCCCTCGCCCTCCCTCCTCGTGCAAGAGCCAGGGCGTGCCTGCCACGTGTTCCTTCTCTGCGGGGGGGCGGGGGGGGGGCTCTCGGGGGGCGGGTGTCCTGGATCTGCGGGGGTCCGGGGGGGGGGGCCTCGGGTCGAAATGCCGCCCCCCCCCTCGGGGTCCCAGGGGGGGGGGGTCGCCAACAAGGGCCCCGGCGGAGGTCCCGCCTTCCGGATCGGCGGCGCCGGCCTCAAGGCCCCCCTCGAAACAGAACTGCACGTGCAACTGGACGTACACGTAAAAAAAAAATACGGTTGCACAGGATGCAGATCTGATCGCAACCGTGAACACAACGACAACAACCGGAAAATACTCGTGATCAGAATTGGAGGCTTCGACATTGGCACCAACACCAACTCTGCGGGGTGCCTCCACCGGAGGAGGATGACCTGTGCTGGTGGTAGCCTCTCGGCCACCTGGGAAGCCCGAATGCTGCCGCGCATCACCGCCACCACCGAGATCGGAATCATTATCCTCCCTCGGCGGCGGCAACCGCCGCTGTCGGTGCCGGCGTCGACCTCTGGGCTCCGAACCCATGGCAAGGATGCCAGGGGATCACCAACACGACGCAACCTGCAATACCCAGAGGGGCCGCGGGCCCACGGCCCTGCGAGGCGCGGCGCGCGCGCGCGGGGGGGGAAGGGGGCGCCTGCCACGTGGCCGCGCGCACCGGCCGCAGGTACCTCGGCCCGCCGACCGCCGTGGCGTCCACCGTGGCCCAGCCTCGCGACAGGACCGGCATGCGCACGATGCCTCGCGGGCCCGCGGGGGGGGGGGCTCTGCACGACGGGGCGCCGACGCTCTGACTCTTCAGCACTCCTCGGCCCCCCAGGGGGCCCGTGAGCGGGCCGCGGGGTACCAGCAGAGGTGGATCGGGGACGGCGAGGTGCCCCCCGGGGAGGGGACCGGGAACAGCCCCGGAGGTCGCGCACGAGCCTTCGCGGGCTGCGGCGCAACAGGCGCCGCCGAGGCAGGCACGGCGCCGACCCAAGCGAACGGCGCGGACCTCCGAAGGCAGGGGTTGCGCTCATGCTGGTGTTCTGACCCTCTGCTTCGCCCCCGGCGTCATGGCCCCGCGGGCCCCCAGTAGCAAGCAGGGGACGTGCGTCCTGCGACCGTGCAGCGAACTAGTTGTGAGAGATCTGTGTTATGTGCTTCTCGCAGGCTACGAAGCGGGGATCTGTGCACGGCCAACTCCGAGACCCTGGATTTAGAAATGATCCTGGCGAAAAACCCAGCTGCATGCCTGTGTGATTACCGCAGTTGTGTGCCCCGCCTTCGGTGGAGCTCCCTATGGGGCCACGAAACGTGTGAGGGGTGTGCGGAAATGGGCGCGGTGTCACCATGCAGGCCCTGCCACTGGGGCCTTCGGTGGAGCCCCCATATGGGACCACGAAACGTTTGAAGGTTGTGCCGAAATGGGCGCGGTGGCGCCATGCGGACCCTGCCACTGAGGCATTCGATGGAGCTCCCTGTGGAGCCACGAAACGTGTGCATTGCCGACATGGGTGCGGTAGCGCCATGCGAACCTTGCCATTGCGGCCTTCGGTGGAGCTCCCAATGGGGCAGCGAAATGTGTGGGGGGTGTGCTGAAATGGGTGCGGTGGCGCCATGCGAACCCTGCCACTGGGGCCTTCGGTGGCGCTCCCTATAGGCCAACGAAACGTGTGAGGGGTGCCTCGAAATGGTTGCGGTGGCGCCATACGAGCCCTGCGCATCAGTAGGTGCCTTCCACAGATGTGCAGCAAACCCCCAAGTCTACCTATCGGGCCTTCCAACGAAGTAGTAAGAACGTTGAGAGTAGATAAATATGGGAGTAATATTCACACACTGAGGCCTCATAATGCGGTGGCGTGTAAAGCGCTCATCATCGCTATCGAATCTACTGATCTAGAATGGGACTTCGGTGGAGCATCACCTATGGGGCTCCCCTCCCCCCCTCCTCCCTCTCCCTCTCCCCCCTCCCCTCCTCTCCTCCCTCTTCGCTTGTCGAAACGCGTGAGGGAGTGGCGAAGTGGGCGCGGTGGCGCATGCGACCGTGACACTGGGTTCCGTCGGTGGAGCTCCGCGTCATATGGACCTATGAAACGTTTTGAAGTTGTGCCGCGAAAGGGCGCGGTGGCATCCATTCGGAGCCAAGCGATAATCCACTGCCAGATTGGGTCCGTCGGTGGCGCTCCTATGCGGGCCACGAAACGTTTGATGGGTGTGCCGAAATGGGTGCGGTGGCGCCGTGCGAACCCTGCCACTGGGGCCTTCGGTGGAGCTCCCAATGGGGCAGCGAAATGTGTGGGGGGTGTGCCGAAGTGGGTGCGGTGGCGCCATGCGAACCCTGCCACTGGGGCCTTCGGTGGCGCCCACTTATGGGGACAACGAAACGTGTGAGGGGTGCGCCGAAACAGCAGCACGCGGAGGGCAGATGCAAGGAGAGGGAGGAGGGAGGAGGGGGAGGAGAAGAGAAGAGGAGAAAGGAACGCGGGGCGTCGTCTCTTCACACACGAAGACCCAACACCACAGGATGGTTGGGAACTAAAACCATGGGTGTGCTTCGCGCGCTGAGGTTCTAGCAAGCCCCGGCCACTGACATGGTCGCAACTGCATGCATGCGCGTAGCCACGTGTCAATCTGGTTTGAGAAGGTGCAAGAGCGCGGACCAAGCAGAGAAGGCTCTCTTCGGAGCCCGTCGCCTCACCGTGGAAGTCCTAAGGCCATCTTGGGTGTGCGGGGGCGGTCAGGGGAGGTGGTCAATATTCCTGGGTCGGTCTTGGGCCGTCTTGGGCCAGCATTGGGCGTCCTTGGACTCCAGGGGGGTCAGGAGGAGGAAGTTGGACGAATGTAAGAAACCAAAAGAGCAACAGGAATGGGGTCATCCCAATCACCCGTCTCTTCCTCTTTCACCTCCTCCCCCTTCTCTTCCTCGCCCTTCACCTCCTCCTCCTCCTCCTTCTCCTCCTCCTCCTCCTCCTCCTCCTCTTCCTCCTCCTCACCTTCGTTCAGCAAAAAGAATTCCGAGCACCAAGAAAGAACAGAAACTCGAAGGTTTTCACGTGTCGGGCCCTGGGAGGCGGTACTCGTTCGACACTCTTTCGACACTTTTTCTGGGTGCTCGAAAATCTTTCTGGGCTGTGGTCCCTAAGAACGATGAGGGGGCAACCTAACCCAAGAGATACCGCGCGCGCGGCCTCGGGGGCCCGCCTTCTGGGGAAAACCTCGGCATCGCTCGGACGTGTGCATTTTTTCCCCTTCGGCGAGGGCCATCGAGGAGCATCCTTGGTCATTTCGCGAAGAAAAAACCCACGCGCGAAACCGGAGAAAAAAAGCACAGGACATGGACGTCCCTATGAACGAGACGGCCCGCGCGCGTAAAGATCGGAGGGCCGGCGGGGCTCATGACCCGCAGCCTCCACGACGTTCGGGGCTCCTCTGGATGTACACCCTGCGAAATGCTTTAGAAATCATGGGTTAAGAAATTCATCGTCTCAGAACTTGAATAAAAACCCAACATTTCGATTCAAATCTTAAGATTTACATTGAAACGTTAAGAATAATCGACACTCTGGCCGAAAACTCAAGTTTTCTTAAGCATCGCCTAAGGTGTATCGATTTTCACGAACCATGCCCCCGATGGTTCCCCAGCTGGGCCCCCCAGGGTCGGCGGGGCTCACGACGCAACGATTCCGTGGCATTCCAACTGGCTCTCTGGGCTTCCCTGCTTCTGCTGACCGCCTCCAGGATCAGGAGAGCGAGGCGGAGGAGGAGCTGGAGGAGGAGAGGAAGGAGGAGGGGGAGGAGGAAGACGAGGGCAGGAGTACTGGTAGCAGCAGGAGCTCGAGGAGGAGGAGGAAGGATGATCGGGAGGCTGAGGAGGTAGGATGACAGAGGGAGGGTCAAGGCTAAAGTAGGTTGGAATATCATAACTCTTAGGATTGTTGCGGGGCCGGCTTACAGTCAAACCGCATAGTAAGGATGCGCGGTAAGGATGCAAGGGCCTCGGA